TGCGCCCCAGCCGGCATGCCGGCTCCTGCGCAGGAGCAGTGGGGAATGATGGCATGGTGCCAGGATGGCCGAACGCGCCGACGCAGGAAGATAGGCAGGCCTGCCACCAAAGCATGACCTGGAGGACGGGATAAGATTCGTACCAAAGAGAGAAAGAAACAGGTCACACAACCCCCCTCCCCCCCTCCCCCCGGCCAAGCTAGTGTACGCGAAACTCTGTTCCGTGCTGTCGGAAGCTGATATAGAGCCTCCGATGAGCAAACAACGCAAGCAGCGTAAAAGCCAAGATATGGAGCACGAGGCGACGGGAGTAACAAACGCGGGCGTCATGCGGTTCACGCACGCGGACTTGTTTGAAGGCGCCGGCGAGGGGCACCGCAGTGTCAGCTGCGCCCGCCGCTGATGAGCGGGATGGCGTCCATGGGCAAGTGGCGAGCCCTCGGGACTGATCCGCGCACAAAGCCGCCCGTGAGCCGGACACCAGGGGCTGATCGGCGCCTCACACGCGGCATATCGCGCGAGCGAATTGCGTCCAGCCGCGCGGACAACTGCGCGGACGCCATTGGGCGCTGGGTCAAACGCCCGCTCCACCCACCGCCGACGCCGACTGCTGCTCTGGCTGCTGCTGTTGCTGCTGCACCAGGCGGCACATGGCAAATGAAGTCATTCAAATGCTTTCCTGGTGGCGGTGGGGCAGGCATTTCTGTATTCTTGGGGGCTGGCGGGCTCGCCGTCTTCTGTCCGCATACTGAGGATTCGTCGCCATCCGAAGGCGACCGCCGCCCCAGGGAGTTTCCGGATTGGGTTTCATGATTGGGCTTCGTCCGGGGCTGGGTCGCAGCATAAAAATCATGGCTTTAGGGCTGCGTTCGCCAGGCATCCCACGTGTGGAGGAAGGCTGCTCATCGACAAGATAACCACCAGAAGAGTTCTGGCTGACGTGGTGCCCACTGTAACTGGAAACCAAACTTCGCAGTACATTTCTCAACGCGACCAGAGTTGCGCCCGTTTATTGGTACGAGCTGAGAACATCAGTGCATACAGCTTTGACTTTCTTGACGCCTCTGTTAGCTGCTAAATGGCTTAGCGACATTAGGAATGTGTCCTATATCGAGTGACAACGACTGCGAGATGTGAATAGGGAAAGGGCAGAGCTTCACGTAGGATAATTCAACCTGGTCGTCCGAACAATAGCAAGGAAATGCACACTGTCAACCACATCTGCCGCTGCCAATCACAGTGTTCATGCTGTGTTTTCGAGGATGTTCTGCGTTGTTTGCAGCCTGCCCAGCTGTAAAGTGTCAGAAATGCTGACTGCCATCTACCAACCATAACCACTTCTTCAGCGTAATAAACAGGGCTAACAGTTGTGAACAAGAAATCTGTAGCCTATTGGTTGACATCCATCTGGTTGTGTATGGTTGTCACAGCAACATCTTCGGAGCTCTTGCGCTTCCTCCTCACTGGGGCCACGCAAAGGGGTGAAGGCACAGTGGTAGCATTTCAGCGTTCTGCACTCCAACAGCACACAAGTGAGACATTGAGTATCCAAACCTCCATTTGACAAGCATCTCCATCAGCAGAGCTGTTGAGAATTGATGTTGTAAGAGCAACACCAACTATAGGAGCGCCAATGGGCCAGCACCGCATTGTAAATTGTCTTGCAAAAGCCCCATATATTACATAAACAAATGTCTTGAATAATCCCTCGTGGTACCCAGCAAGTGGAAAGGTGCACCAGAAATGGAGCCACGCTTTCACCCCCGATGCAGCCGACAATTCCCACCCAAGGTCTGCCAATCGAAGGAACAAAGACATAGGGGACCCGCCATGGCCCTCAGTCAATGGCAAGGGACGCCGTCAAGACACCAAGAAAACGGGCAAGGTGGATCATCGAACGAGTTTGCCTACGCGTCTATCCATACAACTTGCTGGTGTGCATTCCACAGGCCAGCATCTGCCTGGAGATCATGGCGCACACTTTGCTGTAGCTCGAATGCCCAGCGTAGAGTTGGGACAGCCACTACCACAAACGCCTCGATCAAGAGGCGTAGCAGTAGCATGGCCCTCCCCATCCGCCAATTCCATAGACTCAAAAGCGAGCCTAGTCCAGTGGTCAGGCAGGCAGACACCTGAGGCCTCAACCCATTTGAACAGCACATCAACCACCCCCTTGATTGCATCCCTTAGCTCTGCTTGCTCCTTGACTGAACGGCCATTGTGCCGCGGTGACCACATCCCCGGCAAAGTTGTTGGAGCTCCTTCACCATTTGCAACCGGGTCCAATGGCACAAAGTCGTGGCCCTGGTCCATGCCTTCCGTTTGAGTTGACCTTGATATGAGGAGCAGCACGGGAGTCTGAGTTCTGCCTGTTTGCATACTCCCATCATGGGTCAGGCAATTTGATGCACGTTGCGCATGCTCGCAGCATGTGGTCGGGCTCCAAGGGGCCAATTTGGGATGCTCCATACGACATGGCGACATGCCATGCCAATGACAGATGTGTCGCATTGCAACGCCCGTGCGCTGCAAAGGCATGTATCAACACGCCTGCCAGGAGTCTATTATTGCTCTCTGGATGCGTAACATTCCGTCAATGTGACCCGCTGGCCTTTAGACACCCAAAAAGTACTCCAAATCACACTAAGCCACTCCCATCCAAAGCAGCTGCAAATTGGACCCCAATGACTATGATAGAAACTGTAAATCCGCGTCCAATTGGGCAATACGATTGTCAATCAACTATGGCTCAAGAAAATGGTCCCATTCTCCGATGTTCGTCAAATAGTCTACCATATGAATCAACCCGTCGACCAGCCCAATGACGGACAACAGACATTCTCAAGTATTGTATCAAAGTCCTCAAGCTTTTGTGCTGGCTTGTTTCTCCATCTCAAGGCAAAACTGCTGGACGCCCCTCAACTGCCTAGGGTCCATTTCTGGAGCATCAACAACTCCCTATGCGACAAAATTGACCCCCTAAACTATCGTGCACTTACATCCTGAACTAGGACATGTTCCTGATGCCATTTTGTCTATTAGAAACATTGTTAATCACAGCGCATGACGCATTGAGTTTTTCACCTGTGGAAATAGCTGCCTTACTGCATCCAAGCACAATCAAACTAGCCCCAATTCTTACCAGAATCAGACTGTACACTTTGTTAAAACGTTTTGCAATATTGCAGCCTCTCTTTCACTTCCATTTCACAGATTCTAGTCAAGATTGCCTCCCAAACTGCTGCACAATCCTGCCACCATAAGTGCTGCATTTTCTTAAAATTTTGGCAGCATCCCCCATTTTTCCTTACTTCTCATACTCAAGTATCGTGCATAATGTCCTAATATATATTCTATTCTGGCAGCATTCTGGGGAAATTTCCGCTGCGTTTCCCCTAGGCGTTTGACCTTTCATCATCCGGTCTGTCTCATATCTCTGTAGTACTGCTTTAGGACCTTTTCTGCAAGGTCCTTGAGGCCATAGAATGCCTCTAAAAAGTGTTAGCAACATTTTTGTGTGGCATCTGAGTGTTTCCCAATATATCTATGTCACTCTTTCATCTTGATGTCCAGAAACGGGCTGGCCATGGCAACTAACTTCTGTTTAATGTTGCGCAAATATTTCAGTGTGATTCTCACTTTTCTGCAACGCTGGGCGGGTGTCCATGCCATGCTGATTGGTCTACGGTGTAGTGGCATCCAGGCAGTTGCCTTTTGTCGGTCATGAGCCCGTCGCTGGGTGACGTGACCCAATGGCTATCAGCGTATTTACCAATATTTGAGGATCCAAGTTTGCGCACTCAAGGAATGTCGTGCACAGATCGGTGGTGCTAGTGCCTTGGGCACTGCACCATTGGCCTTCACAGCGCTTGCTTTTGCGCCTTGCAAACAATGGTGTTTCAGCGCCCGTTGACAATAAACTAGTGTAGCGAATCTATGGATCAATTAACAGAGATAGCCAATGGGCTTCCTGTCAGCCAACGACTACCTTTGCTCCTTCGTGTCCACAAAGTGGCACACAATAGAGGTGCAAGTAGAGAGTATGTTTTGTTGTTAAATGTTTCCAATATTCTTGGGATATTTTGTTTCCGTTTGATAAGTTCTGTCTGTTTTGGGATGAGGACTTCCGTTGCAAGTCAGCATTCATATTCTCCTTTCCGTTCGACACATTTTGTCCCTGACTCGTTTGTTTTTCATTTTGGTTGACCCGTTCCACAACAAAACGAACTTGCATGAACCGAGCGAGCATGAGGGTTCCTGCTAGCAGGTGCTGGCTGCCGGTGCCTTGGCTATCTGGCGATTGACAGCCGATTGGCCGCCAATTGACGGGTGCCATAACAGGCGATCTCCGCAACCAGGCTTTAGGTGGGATCGCTTGCTGTGTTGGCCGAGCTCGCCTCCTCAATCACCGCTGGGTCGCCGCTCAATCGGAGACTACGGCTGGACAGGGGTTGTGGGCTATGGAGTGGCATATGGGCAGCCAAGCTTCGACAACATGGCTGGGCCAGTGGTCTGGGGGATCGTGGCGATTGCTTGATTGGTGACTGCCGCCAAAACAGCATGTCAAACGCTGGTGCAAATGGTCGTTGACGCTGGCCGCAACAAATGTTTTGGTGAAGAAGATGCCGGCAGCAAACAAGCGCCAATATTATCAGCCATTCCCACCAAATATACCAAGCTTTTGCCACTGTGTCTGGGCTCACCCACGCCCAAACACCGATGGCAGCCAGTGCAGGCGATCGCCCGCCAATTCTGCGCAACATTCCTAGCAGCTGCAGCGCTTTTGTTGCTCCTTTGTGGCGACCAGCCGCCTCCACCGCCGTGGCATCCTTGCTTCAAGCTTCCCACCGCTCTGCCAACGCCTCGATGCTCCTTCCGAGCGTGCTCCTTTGTGCTCCCGAGGAGAGGGCTACCCACACTCCCATCAATGGGTGGGAGGGCGAGCCACAATGCGGCGCAGTGGGCACCGCGCCAGCCGACCACCATCCGCTCCTCCCACTTCATCGATGCTTGGGTTGGATGGCAGACTTGCTTCGGCGGATGAGCGCACCCCCTGTGTCAACAAGATCCATGGGTCAGCCACTGGCCCAGCTACTCCGTGAGCTCGCAGCCGCCCCCCCTCGTCTCAACGCTGAGGCCTCCACAGTCATGGCAAGAGTGGCCGCCCGGGAGGCACGAGATGCGCTGTACAATCGGCGCCTCACCGGCACCCAATCATGCCGTGCGCCCTGCCTTGAACGGCCCCTGACAGTGGCGCAATTGAGCGCCTGTGAGCCACCACGAGAGGCGCCGAGCAATTCGCCCCTTGCAGGCACCCACTCCTGCTGCCTGTGCCGGCCTGGAATGGCCCACGCTAGTGGCAGGAATGGGCGCCTGCGAGGCGCGAGGGGGGGCAAGTGATTCGGACTTCTCGGGGCCCATTGCCACTGCCCATTGTAGATTAGGAGGGCGTCTGCGGGTGGCAAGAATCGCTGCCCGTGAGGCATGAGAGGCGCCAAGTGATTCCCCCTCGTGGGCGTCCATTCCTGCCACCCACGTTGGCCACACACGGCCCCCACTGGTGCCAAGAATGGCCACCCGCGAAGCGGGAGATCTGTGCCCTTATTCGCGCCTCCCAGCCGCCCGTTCCCGACGCCTGCCGCACTCCCTGCTCCGCTGTGGTTCCAGGAGGCTAGTGCCCTAGGCCTAGCATGCCCTTGCACGCCCCATCACGCCAACCTGTTTGGATAGCAGCCGCAAACGTGGGTGCCGATTCCCATCGCTAGGCCATGACAATTGCACTGAGACGCACCCGGTGCTTGCTGCCATGTCTTGGCACTGTGAGGCACCAATCTGTGCCATGATTTCAAAGCCCGGTCGGCCCTTGTTCTTGGGGCTGTCGGCCATGCCTACCACTTTGGGTCCGTCAAACCGCTCTTTGTCATCGGTTGACGCAAACCTCGTTACAGGTCGCCTTGTTCACAACCGCAAGTCGCCACGCTCCTACCCCGACACGCACTTTGCTGCAGGTGTTGGCAAACCTCGTGCAGCGCTGGCGAATGGGACACCAATCGCCTGCATCAAAAGTCTACCCTTCGCCCCAAGAGGCCTGTGGCCAGTGTCGTGAGGCGTGGCGCAGTCTTCAAGGGCCTAACTTGAACGCCAACATCGCAGTGGGCCTGTCGATGCCTTTTGCACTCCTGCTGCGATTTGGCCTGTAGTATGGGTAGGCCTGGCTTGATTGATGGAGGAGTATTCTTAATACCATCGGGTTAACACACGTGACCGTGACTCACCAGCGACAATAGGTAGTCACAAACTATGGCTACTTTACAGTTTCAGTTTACTACCCAACATTGCACTCACAACTAGCCAAATCGCACAGTTAGAGTGACAAGCACCAAAGCACTCACGGCGTGAAGGCCCTTGCTGCCCTTGCTGAAGTTCGAAAGCTCGCCCTCGCTGGCCGTGGCCTTTGTCCTCGCCCAGCGCAGCCTCGATTTTGTTGCAGAGCATGGCATGACGCCTTTCATACATGCTTGTGGCCTGGTTTACCTTGGGGATCGCAGCTGGGAAGGTAAGAAAGAGGACAGTCAAACCAGACAGCAGCGCCAATGGTCAGCTCTCCCATTCCAATTTCCACTTGCGATTGAACATGGGCTGCAGGCGTCTTTTCATGAACAACATGCTCATCACTGGCCAGACATTCTGTGACGAAAGAATGGAAACAAAAGATGCCACATGGACTGATGCTTCCCAGCAGGAATAAGACATTCACATGGAAGGGTTCCTGCACTCATGCTGATAGCAGCCCAGGCTGGCATTCGACTATTGAAAATTCAACCACAAGATGACCCACTGTTGTTCACGCTTCAAATTTGAAACATAAGCAAATATAAGTGACTGAGAACACCCACCTGTCTGCAGCCTGTCCATTGATTTGGACGCTGGCAATTCGTTGGGAGTATAGGGCGACCCGCGCACAAACCACTTCAATGGGTTCTTTTTGGTCTTTTCAGGAGACTTCTTAGCTGCTGGTGAACGACCAGGTATGCAGCTGAACCTGTTGTTCACAGGTTCTTTTTCTTTTTCCTGTGCATCGATTTGTGCATTTCGCCAATCAAGGGGTGAGGGTAGAAGTTCTATAAAGTTGTACGTTGACCTGCGCACAAATGGGCACGGGTCAACAAGGCTGCTTCAAATCAGTGGGGGTGTGAACAATGACCTACCCAGACAATGGGGACACTTGCAACAGCCAAGACATGCCCTGATCTGCTAAGGCTGCAACGACAATGACAACAAACCCCAATAGAAGTAACAGTAAGCAGCGTTTCGCACATTGGGCATTCCCTGTCATCAAAGTATCCTACATTGTCTCAACTGATCCAACACGGGGCCCTACAGCCTTCAAGGTGCAGCGGAACGGGTATAATGATCAGTGCTCGGTGTGCACTCCAGACATGCTCCATGCTGCATACCCAAAGCTGCTGTCCTCCGTGTCATAGGGACTGGTCCTGCTGTCCATCAGAAAACCCGTGGTGCTGAGGTGGATGTCGTCCAGGCCCCTCCCCTCGCTATCCACCCTGCCCATCCCAGAGGGCCCGGTGTCAAACAAGCTAGGAGTGGCACGGGAGGTGGGCGACCTGGGAGGGGACCTGGATGGAGACCTGAAAGGTGACCTGGGAGGTGACCTGGGACGTGACCTGGGACGTGACCTGGGAGGCGACCTGGAAGGCGACCTGGATGGTGACCTGGGAGGCGACCTGGGAGGCGACCTTGGAGGCGACCTGGGAGGCGACCTGGGAGGCGTCCTGGACCGGGCTTGCCGCTGGCTGCTGATGTTCTGCCCACTGTTGGACTTGCTCACACTCCTCCACCCCTCCCTGTGAGACCTGGGAGCATCATCACTGTGCCCGGCCTGCTGCCCGTAATCCGGCAACATCCGGTCCGCCCTGCCACCATCCCCCCCCCCCGCCCCAATCGCCTTGCTGTCCTAGTTCAGGTGCCTCCTGCTCATCACCTTGCTGTCATAATTCAGCCTGTCCACACCCCTCTGGTGGTCGCTGTGCCCAGTGTCCAGCTCATATCCCCTGCTGCTGGACTGGGCTCCGCCAGACCTCTTCTGTTTCAGGGGCGATCGCGCAGTGCCCCTGTCGCACTTGGCGATCCTGGAGGAGTGCAGCCTGTTGGTGGGCGTGCGATTGCCGCCCTGGGACTCCCTACCCGTGCCAGACTCATCGTCATCGCTCGACCACTGGTCTTCAACACTGTACCCGTTGGCCGCCTGGCCGTAGCCATTCCCTGATTTACCACTGCACTGATCCTGAAGTTTGGCGGGCAGGCTGGCCTGCCTGGATGGCCTGGATGGCCCCGATGGCCCCGGGCTGTCTCCGCGCCCCACCTTAGACTGCCACGAAGACAGGACGCCCGATTCTGGGCGCCCGCGCGCGAAGCCCGCGAAGGTGGGCGTCCTCAACCAGTCGGCCTCCACGGACACGTTGAGGCTGCGCAGCGAGCCGCGGCCGCCGGATCGGCCCAGCTTCTTGCTGCTGGGCGCTCTGTCCTGGAGGGGCACGCCCTGCGCGTGGGCGGTGGGCGTGGGCGCGTGGCCGTCTTCGCTGTTCTGCGACGCGAACTGCCCGTTGTGCGCCACGCCTCGGGTGTCCACCACGTGGCCCATTTCTGCAACTTTCGGCGCACGGCGCTGAGGGGTCGCACTCAGGGGTTCGCCTTCTTCAGCGCCGCCCGAGAGCGGCGGTCGTCGCCCGTCGAGAGGCTGAAAGGTCGGCATGCCCTCGGGACCGCTAACCGTGCTCAGCCTGCGGGTAGGGGCGCGAAAATGACCAAGTCAGAAAACGCCGCAATGGGTCAACCTCCGACGCCATTGGCCACAAAGCGCGGATGGCGTCCCCACGACAGAGACAGGCCGGGGCGCCCGGTTGCGGGAGCCCACAAGGCGCTGCCGACGGCCCCATGTAGGTCAAGGTGCCCTGAGGCAAAAGGGGTGGAAAGGGCAAGAGGCCAACGAGGCAGGCAAACAAGACCAAAGGAGGGGGGTATACCGTATTTACCCGGTATTAGTAGGCGTGTATTGGACCCCAAAATTTAGCGGTGGATACTAATAGTGGGTCATGGATAGTAACATGGTTTAGACCCCCTAATCCAAGGAGTAGACAAAGAAAATTTTTGCAAAATAGGCGGTGAAATGCCCAAAAACAGGCTTGAAAAAATGCAAGATGCGATACAGCAACAGCCACATCACCAAATCAAAATTACGAAATCCCAACCACAAACGCAGAAACGCGTTCACAATCTATCGCTGTCCACATCCAGATCTGATGCAAAGCCATCCAAATACATCATCATATCGTCTTCATCATCACAAATCATCAGCTGCCTAAGCTGTGAAGTTTGCAGCCATCAAGTGCATGGCACTATAGGATGAGCTGTTTGCAGCAACTGTTGCACGTCGAAGGCATGCAACAAGAGTGCTGCGCAAGCAAAGACGTGAAAAATAGCTTCTTCTCCCCAAGGCGAGTCCAACGAGCCCTCTTGTACTCGTTTCTGTTGAGGTTTGGGGGTGGATACTAACACCGGGTCATGGATACTAACGTGGTTTCGACCCCCAAAGATGGGGGTGGATACTAAAAGGGGGTGCTTACTAATACCGGGTAAATACGGTATGTGGGGAGTGTTGCTGTACGTATGATAGGGGAGCTGGTTAAGGGGAATTGGCTATAGTGAACGGACGGGGACGGCTTTGGGATTGGATCATAGTTGGGGATGGCGGCAGGAATAGGAGCTGAGGAAGTGTGGGAGTGAGTAGTGTACGCGGGTAGCTGCTGGGCTAGTTGCCAATGGATCATAGTTGGTCTGGGCGGCGGGAATAGAAACTTGGCATGAGAAAAGGACACGAACCCGGCCAGCCCGGGAAAGTGGCCAGAGTGGGTATTCTGGAGACAGCAACTCATGAACTGTCGCACAATCGCACTATAAATACCACTCGCTTCACTTGTAATGATGGGTTCGGATCGTGAGTGACAGACTTGTCTTCCCCGCGCGTGACCGTTGTGAATGCCTCCCGTACCCATGGGGTCGCCGCAGCCCAAAGGCTCATTGCGCAGTTGAGCCGCCCAAAGGCCGACATACAGACGTAGTGATGGGCATGCGGACCTTGAGGCCGCTCCGTCAAACGAATTCAGGCAAGAAAAATCGTGCGCCGAATAGCGGGCAGCAGACCCGGTGTATGTTGCTTACCAGTACAGAAATGGGGCCTGCGGCCCAACGTTCTGTACTTTTTCGTTCCTACTTTATCCATGGAGAGCCCGCTCACTCATTGGCCAGGCTACGCTGTTGATGTTCTTTGTTCCACAGCATTTGCTCTGCACATTCTTTGACCACCGTGCCCTTTTGCCACTGACGCTGCTGCGAGGGCAGCGCACCACCGTCGCGAAAGCTTGCGCCCTCTCTGCGACCCAGGGAAGCCCTTGAGGGGAGCCCATTTCAGCCTGCACGTTTGATTCACGAGCCATCGCCGCAGCCGCACTGCCTTAATCGACCAACGAGCGCATTCGACACACACGACACATGATTGTAACACACCGCGTACTGTGGGCACAATGGTGGTGGTCCACGATCCACCCCGTGGTTGCGCTCAAGCACAGTTCCCGGCCCGGCGGGAGCCGCAACCCTGCTCTCCGCTTTCCGAAAATTCACTGCAGGACCTGGACCCTTGAACGCTTGGTCCTGAGGGGGCGCAGATTGCATCCCGTGCCGCGGCCGCCGTGCCAGTGGCTGTCACAACAGAGCGCTGCAACTCCCTCGAGTCGCTTCGCGGCCCGGCGGGAGCATTCGCGGTGGCAGCAATGCCAGGCCACGCAATTGGGCGCTGGCAATCCCACTTGTGGCGATCGGCGTCGGCGATGGTCTTCAATGCCGCCGCGACGACGCGGGATCGCGGCGGGAAGGCGCGCCTCGAACGCAAGGGAACACGGCGCGCCGCAGCCTCGACCCCGACAGCCGCACGCCTCCCCTCGGCCGCCTGCGAGCGCAGCCCCTGGGGATGCATGCCCAAAGCACCCTTGCCTCCACCAAATCGGTGTCTGCTTGCACCAACTCACGTGCACACTATGTCCTAAAGTCAGTTCTAGGGTTAGGGTTAGGGTGAGTTTTAGGGCTAGGGGTAGGGGTAGGTTAAGGGTTTAGTTTTTTAGGTTTCAGTGTTTAGGTTAGGGTGGTTTTGGAGGGATTTGACGCAAGCAGTCACCGATTTGGTGCAGCCAGTAATTGTATGCCAAAAAGTTCATTTCCGGGGCGCTCCAAGTCGGGTTCCGAGCTTATGATATCAGAAAATATTGGATTTCGCCCTCCCCCCAACTGCCTACCCAACGCGGTCTGCATCCCGTTCACGCTCGCTTTGTCCCTGCGTACCCGCCAAAAGCGCCCTTCCGCCGAACCCCGACTGCCGCATTCGAAATGCCTCGCCCCTTTGCGCCCAGCGAATCGCAAAACGCAGCCCCCATTCCCGTCAACATCTAGCCCCTTTCTCTCTTTGTAGCAAATCTTACAAGGTCGGCATGCCGCGCACCAACAAAACTCACACCCAGCCCCGCCCTTACCGCAGCCCCAGTCAGCCTGGAGCGCGCCCTCACTTAAGGCACGGCCGAGGTACCTGGCACCCCACAAATCCCCCACAAACACAAGCTCACACGCAGCGCCAATTGACCGACAACGATGCACAAACAGGCCATGTCCCACACGGGCGAACACACGACAATACATGTGCACACGGCAGCGGCACTGCGACCCCCGCACCTGGACGCCCTGGGGTGCTGTTCGAAGACCTGGGCAGCCTGCTCCTGCAGCTGGCGGTCGCCCGAGTTCATGATCCCCACCTGCTGCTGGATCTCCTCGTGGCTGATGTCGCTGGCCGTGCCGCCCGCCCCGGTGCCCACGATACTGTCTTTCACCTCCGGGCCCTTGTCCGAAATCTGCTGGAGCGCCTTGAACGCGTTCTCCTGCTGCAGTCAACCCCAGCTCTGTTTCAATTGAAGACCACATGGGTATGCCAGCAGTGCTACTGCGGGAATCTTCGACAAACATACCGCGAAGTCAGACAATGCACAGCATGCTTCAAGACAGGCTCAGTCAACCTGGCAGGACTGCTTGCATGCCAAGGTCACCTCACTGTTTTCGCCTCTTGACTGCATCGCCTGCATAGCCACGACAAACGTCCATCCGATCACCAACGTCCTTGCAGGGGCGGCAGGCGCGCAAGAATGAGATTTTGCCAATATGAGTTGCATAACAAGCAAATGCTGTGAGGCTGCTCATCAGTGCACCATTGGATAAGTGGCGATCATGCACCCCACCCCAGCCCAGCTACCATGAAAGCCAAACAAATGCACTGACAAACTGAGAAATCTTCCACAGGATGACTGTAACATTTTGCCCACCTGCTGAAGAATCTCGGTCAATCGTGCGCCGACCTGCTTCATCGTGGGTCTGTCACGTGGGGCCACTGCAATGCAGTGCTTCATCAACCCTGACAGTGCTTCAGGGCATTTCTCTGGAATGGGAACTGGAGTCTTGCCAAGTTTTTTCCTCCTCAGCACCATGGCATTGGATTTTAGACCTCTGTAGGGTGGGATCAATGCAGCAAGCTCAAAAAGAACCAGTCCAAAGGAAAACACATCGGCTCTGAATGACTGCGGGGCTCCATCGCAGAGCTCCGGAGCCATCCACAAGAATGTGCCTGCCGTCGGAAAGGCAGTCTTCGATCTTGTCTCGGTCTTAGTGGCAGCCAACCCAAAATCAGAGATTTTGATGACTACATCCTTGCCAGATGATGAATCGAACACAAGAAAATTGGCAGTCTTTATGTCACCATGAACTATCCTTGAGTTGTGCAGGTGCTGCAAACCGGAGCAGGCACTCAACATCAGGTGCAGCCTCATGGACCAATCCCATTCTTCCCCATGCCTCCAAGAGAACTTCTCCAAGTCTGTTAAAGCCAGCTCCATCACTATGCCATTTGAGGCTACTGCACCAAAGCAGCGAACCACATTGGGGTGATTGAGCTGGATGTGAAGCTCAACCTCGCTCAAGAACTCAGCTCTCGATTCCGGTGTGAGGTCACTCCTCAACATCTTGACTGCAACTGCAGCCTTCTTCCACCACCCCTTAAACACCTGACCATAACCACCTTCACCAATCTTCTCCCTTTGTGTAATTTCTCCCTCTGGTATCATGGTGACGAATTCCATCCTGAGTCTCTGCTTGGTCACCTGTTCCTCCAATTCCTTCCTAGTTCCATCGGGTATCTGCCTGTCTATGCCTCTGCCTTCCAGGATGCAGGTAAGATACCAGTACATGTAGCGTTTATCCTCAGCCACTTCATCAGCATTCATTATTGTCTCAATGTCAATTGTGCCCTCTTCCAAGCCCAGGTCATAGAGACATTCTCTGAACACTACACACATTTGCTCCACGTTGCGACTGACTAGATCCACCTTGCTGAAACCACGAAGATCAAAACGCCTTGCATGTCTGCTGATCAGACATGACCCTCTTTTCATTTCATCTTTGAGCATGACCAGCACATCCTGTGGAGCTTCTCTTGGCACTCTGGGGAGCAGGCGCTCAACCTTCTCCATCTCATGGCACAAGAATCGGAGCATGTTTGAGTGATAGCGTGCCTCTTGCAGCCCATCCTTGGCCTGCTCTGTTGCTGCTGTAATTGCTGCCAAGAGTGCATCCATCACTCTGCCCCTCCACCCTCAATACCTGGTTGTGCAGAAGCAAACAGACAAGACTTGGATACCCTCCAGTGAGTGGGATGTTGCACTTTGTGTTCCTTGTATCCTCAGCAGATAGCTTCAGTGCGATGCGTTCCAGGGCATACCCTCATCCACCAACTGCGATGAGCATTCAGCAGCCTTTTGATGGCTGAAGAAAATGCGATGGCAGACAAGCGATCGGAGCCTATGCCATATCAATGAGGCAACACAGCAACAGGACCAATGCTGATTCAGGGAACATCAACTTTTTTCCGATCTGCGCCCATTGCCTGCTGGCAACTGCAACAATGGACAAGGGTACTCTCCCTGCAACAGCATAAGATTGCAAAGCTAAATGAAAGCTTCACAGGCGTGGTGCAAGTGTACATCGACTATGCACTGCCCTAGCAATCTGTGGCAAGGTCTGCAGCAGCAAGTGATGCTATCATCAGCACAAGGCCACAAGCAAAGGCAACACTCACTGCAAGGGCAGAGGGTTCAGCTGTGCATTGTCGCCCAACAGAACGGATGAGTGGGCTTCTCATTTGCTGCGTATTACATGCTTCAAAGGTTTATTCTTCGGATGTGCATTGTCCAGCGCAACAGGGAGCATAGCTGAGACTGATCTCCGAAATTTGCACAGGACGTGCAAGTCAAACGCAAAAAGGTGCTTGGGTGGCTGCATTATGGGCCGTAAGCGACAATCAATGCACAGAGGCGACTAATGCTGTCAACAGTGCAGTTGTCTGAGGCAACAGCGCCCACGAGGGCGCTGAGAGGTGAGAGTTGTCGAAACCATGATATGACGACACATACAGATGACCAGTCAAATGCACCCGCCTGTGCCCAGTGCCTTCAACATGTGTCAGACGAGGATCGAGCACATGAAGATGCCAAGCCACAGATAGCAGCAGCAGCGCCAAACTTCGAAAGGGCCTTCACCGATGGGAAGGCAACAAATGCAGGGCGCGGGAGCAGCTTCGATTTGGCTTCCGCGGGCAGGGCCCACCACGCACACCAACAACGTCGAGCTTCCTGGAGCCAGCGCTCAATCGCAAGAAGGTTTTCAGTGCCTGAGGGGCAACAAGGCTTGTGGAGCACAGGTTTGAACACCTCGTGCGCGCAGTTTCTTGTGAAAGTGCGGCTGGTGGGGTCGCCGGCTGTGGGACCCCAATGCTGGGACCGCCTATGGTGGGAGCCCAATGGTGGCCCAGGGGCAATAGACATGGGTGATGTGACCGATCGTGGGAGGCGAACGACTTGAACGGTGGCATCACCAAGATTAGCAAGACCGTGTCAAGAATGCCAACGAGGCTATCCGCTAGATTTGACAAGGGCATGAATCAACCTGGTCGTCCGGTTGACTGGATCGAGCTAGTAGTGCGCCGTCCACGCCACCACGGTGTTCGCACCTGCGGGTCCAGTGTGCGACACGAGGAGAAAGTTTACTGTGCTGTGATTCACAGAAATTACTAATTCGAAACTGCTGCCTGTAGTTTCAGAAATTAGTGTGAAAAAATGATGGGTGACAAGGGTTGCGGGGGTCGACACATCTGCCCGGTCGCAATTCAGGGAACGAGGGTAGGGGTTCACAGGGCGATGTTGGAAAAGGCTTGTGAGATTGTGCAGGGAAATCTGGTAGATGGTGGACAGGAGGATTTGCTAGAAGGTTGGTCTATCTGGTGAACAATGGTCTGCATTGATGGTTGGTCCGTTTCCATTTCTTGCCATCAAGCGTCCCACCTGGAGGTATTGAGCTGCGAAAATCAAGCAGAATAGCAGCTGCCTGCAAGTGCATGTGGTGGTGTGTCCAACGAGGAGCCAACAAAGGAGGTCGAGCAGGTTGGGAGACAAACACTGCTATGCATCCAAGGGCAGTGATCGCGCAATGAACGAAAACACTGGGAGGAATGAGGTGAAGGCGCTGAACAGAACAGACAGCCCTTAACAGCTCTTCCAATGAACCATTGGTCTAAGGAGCGACTGCGATGCTCAGTGCATGACCATACGAGCACTATGGAGTTCGTTGCGGAGTAGGCCATGTCCTGCTGTACCAATCATCCAATGGGCCACGAGACGGCATGTGCGTCGGGCGCAATAGGCTGTGCTCTGGATGCGATATTGAGCGAGGTGCGAAAGATCTTTATGCAGGCTACTTTGCACACGAACGGGCTGTATATGGCTGATCTGAGCGTGCAGTGTGATGTCTTGGCGAACCAGCAGTGCTACTGAACGGGTTGAGCCTGCGTGTGTGATGTGAGACCCGACGAGAGCATGTCGAGAGCGCACACCATCTGGTTACGAAGAATGACGCAATCTTTAAATGATTCCTCGTAGCCAGATGCTTTGCACTCTCTTTCCTTAGGAAGCAGTGGTACATCGGAGACGACTCAACCATGAGTTACATGTTGAACACTCGGATCGCATAAAGGAAGCTTCCTCGAGGACCCTCCACCCCACCTCACCCCAAACCCAACCCACCCACCCACCTACAGTATACTGTACCAGCGGGGATGGCGGCCAAATGAGGGGTTGTGCCATTATGATGGAGCGGCTGGAAGAACAAAATTTGTTTTTCTGTTCGAACCACGAGGCGCTTGGGAGACTGGCTGGCGAGTTGGGCGAGAGGGATTGGGCTCAGTCCTATGGGATACTGTCAAGTTCCTTGGCCATCCCGGTTCGAGACCCCGATCGTCGCAATCGTCGCAATCGAATGTGCGCAGCGAGGTGCCACTGACGAAGGCAGGCAGGATCGAGCAGTGGAGATCCCTGAACGGGAATTGTACGCTCGAGTCCACGACAACGGTTTACAGCCGAGGCAAAAGGACAACAAGCGTTCTGTCCTTTATACTCCGTCTGTTCATCAACACCCTTAATGCGATTCCTAGTGCTTCATCATCTTTTCATATACTCAGTTATTATTAACACTCAATCAGTTCTAGGCGTAACACCACAACGCAGCATAAGTCAAACCGTTTTGGTTCGACTTCCGTGGCAATCTTGGTGCACGCAGTGCTCAAATGCACTCGTCGTGTATGGTCTGACAAGCAGCCAAGGCTCGACTTGTCTTACAACCAAACAAAGAGAAGCCACGGACAAGTCTCGGGCTCTCTTTAGATACCAGAATGCGCCTCTTTTCTCGCCCACTTGAACTCACACTCAGCACGGTGGACTGAACTCACACTTCGCACACGTACAACACGCTACCCCACAGTAGCAGCCCCTAGCGTCGACCCAGGGCACCGACCCACAGCTCCAACCCATAGTACCAACTCATGATCGCCAAAATAAATAAGATTGAAGCTGATTGTTGGCCAGCCGTCTTCCCGCCATCTCAATCAGGTCAATGTGTGTAACATTCAGCCAGCACATGAACAGTTGCTTGCACGACATGGCAGCTGCGGATGTCTTTTCGTCTCTTTAAGCCGGTTGTTTAATTTGTATTCACTTTTCTCATTGTGTTCCACAGCGCATCAGTGTTCAGCCACAGAACCTCCCGTCATGAGAACTGGAAAGTTGCATGTGAAGCATTGAGAAGAGGTGACAGCCATTCAAAGATAGTTTTGATGGCATTCCTCGAAACAGGATTCTCATATGCTACCATTTAATCATCGGATTACAAAGCAGTAACTGACGGAGGCAGATCAGTGGTCAATTACTGGTAATTATAACAGATACAACTATACCAGACTTGCACTAAACCAATTGGACCAGATTTGCAATTGATATTGCAACAGGCCAAAGCAATCAGGTAGACGAGCCCTTTGGCTGTGCAGCCTGAAGGTCCTGAGTATTCTGGATTTCTATAAATTGTGGAGTTTGAGGTAACCTCCAGTGAGTGGGACGTTGCACTTTGTGTTCCCTTTATCCTCAGCTGATAGCGTCAGTGCGACCCGTTCTAGGGCATATCCTCGTCCAGCAATAGCCTATTTAAGTATCCACTACTGCGTACAACAATCTGCCATCGCTCCCACAGATCGGCAACGCTTTGGGCCACTGGACCCACGTGGCTCGTGGCCAAAGCTGCCCAGCTCAAGGGCGGGCTTGGAAGTTGTGCCCAAGTGTGGCGTAGATTGCTTGAGCTGTGGGCGTCATTTCATGAATGCTCTGTTTTGGTGCTCTCGCATTATTGGGCAACTAGAAGACGCGACTTGTCTATCTGTGTCCCCAGTCTGTGGATGAGTAGTTGAGCCTTTCAGGCACGTTGCAAAGGTGTAGACCCACAGAGAAGCTCTCAATTTGTTTTCACCTTCGGGGGTTATGCTTTGCGCTCGCCCTCGGGACCAGGCCCCAAAACCCTTTGGGATTCGGGAAAGGTCCTTCGATGCTTTGGGTCGGATTGAAAGGAGTATTCAAGAATAAACATTGCAAAAGCAAAGTGCATAAGATAAAGAGATTCTCTTTTAATCAATAGCAAAGCTGCATCAGGGCCTGTGAATCAGCATCGACGCAGAATTGGCGCACACATCAGCACTTGTCAAATATTGATGTGCGGGAATTCGCTGCTGCGTTGCTCGGCATCGCATTGATGGCAATGCAACCAGAGTGTCGCATTCCCACAATAACCAACATGGCAAAGTCCAACCTGACAACATGACAACGTCCAAGCTGGTTCCAGACGCTTCAATCCATGTTCTAATTACACAGGTCACGATTTAGTGTTGGTAGCTTCTGATGTAAGCGCCTGTGCGTAATAGCCAGCAGCACCGCCCCCAACTAGGTGGCCCCTTCTCTCCCGCAAAGTTTGGTTGGTGGCTGCTGCATCACGTGCGCAGGAAAAAGCGGTGAACTGCGCTTGGCGACGGAACGTCAAGCATATCAACCTGCCATCGTTGCCCAAAAGGTCCCGCTGAAGCTCTCGGCTCGACTGATCAATCAGTCCTAAAGTCGAACGCAGTTGCCTCAAGAACCCTCCACAGGAGTACTCGCACTAGTGCACGAGTTTTTCACCAAACACCCAACTACCACCCCCATTTTCCCAC